TCCCCCAAAGTGAAACAGTTTTAAATGAATCTTTAAGAGGCAGCTTGGGACAGTGATTTAAGGACATGAACTAAAGATCGGGACAACTCAGGGTCAAATTCCAGCCGCACTACTGTGTGAGCGCCTCCGTGAGCCCAGATTTCTGTTCTGCCAAATACAAATAATGGTACTAGTCCCCTAAGCTCAGATGAATAAACAAGGCAAACATACTTACAACATTACCTGGCACATAGTGTTGTTGGTCGTAATACTGCAGGTCATGGCTGGACAAATTAACTTTTTCTTATCATTTTATGAAAGTATCACTTAATACCTTTCAAATGCTAATGGAAAAACGGTATAATTAAGAAAAATGAAGTCTGCATATCACAAAAATAGAGAAACAAAATTGGTGGCTAGTTTTGGACCTTCTTGGCTAAAGAGGATATATTAATCCTGTTCAAACTTACAAAAAAAGAAAAAGCTTAAATAAGAAAAATCACTTCTCTATATTTTTAAGCAACCAAAATGAGAAAAAAATATAAGTCACTATTTCGACTGTGATTTTCAGCAATTTACCAGTATTTTGTAAGTTTTGCATTCTGGTTTCATTTCCTGTAAATGCTATCTATATACCCTATTTCGTGGTAAACATCCTGGCACAATTAAAAACTAATTTGAACAAATTTCTGTAGTAATTAAAAACAATTTAGAGTTCATGTTAACTAACAGCACCTCTTTACATTATTAACTACTTTGTGATTTTAAAATTATATTCTAGAAGTGTCACATTTGTATGGGACCAAATAAAGCCTCAAAGTCTAAGTAAAACAGCAAGCATGGAGAGAATGTTGTAAAACCTAAAATGAATGTCTCCTGCCTAAAACTTCATTAATCAGATTCTTCAGAAATTTATTGAAACAAAAATACAGACCTCTTATATGGCTCTAAACACAAATTAACACTGCTCCCCAAGTTACTGAAAATGATTTATAGATGAATAAACATTTAGTAAAATTGGGTGAAACGTAGTGATTTTGATTCACTACATTTCACAATAGGTCTATTTTCAAAGAGATTTCAAAAAGAACAGTCACAACCTCTAACTTTCTTTCTAATTCATTCATTTAACTACCATGTTTAAATAGATTCCTAACATACTAACATGTAATCAAGCATGAAAATTAAGCAAATTTTCTTTTTGCCTCATCAGGAGAAATCACCGTACATCTGAAAAGTTGTCCTTTCTCATCCTAAGGTAAACAATTTGGTTTCTTAATCTTTTTTATAGTTTCTAAATACCAAATCTTGTCCATGTTTTTCTGACTCTTATCAGAACTGAAACACAGATCAACAAACAGCAACAGACTACTGCCTTCCGTCTTGTACAGACTAGTGTTACTCTCCTGTCTCATCCTTTTAAGAGGACTAGAATAACTCCTGCATCTACTCTGATCTACTTCTCACTCTAAAGTCTAATATTAACTACAGTACATAATGAAGTATTTTCTTCTTTATTTCAGACTGATGTAACCTACCTTCATCTCTAAAACAGTTTCTACATAAAAGTTACCCATTGCTTGAAAACAAACAGAAACTCTACTATCCATGCACAGTAAAATAAATCTGTATTTGCCTATGTATCTGAGTTTATAGAATACTATCAGAAAATTCTCATCTGCAAAGTGCTTAAAATCTAGTTAACAAATTTATTCTATTTAATTCATTTAACTTATAACTGCAAAGATCTGTATTACATGGTCAAGAATAAATCTATGGTAAACGCATCACTTTTTCTTAAGAGTCCACTCTTTCTAAAATGGTTATATGCATATGCCAAGACAACATTCATTTGAATATGCCGCTTCAGCTATAAAACAGGATTTGTAAAAATACCCACAGAAGACTGATTTTAAGAAGACATTTTAAAAAGACATTAAAAAATTTTAAAGGCATTAAAAATTTTTAAAGACATTAAAAATTAGAAATCTTCTTGAGTCTCAAAAATGAGCCCCAAAACTAAATTATTAAATATCCTTATCGGTTCTGTATTCATGAGTTCATTATCAAATTTGTACTTATCAAGTTACTCTCCTTGGGGCTGGGGATTTATTTAGCTCAGCGGCACAGTGCCTGCCTGGCAAGCACAAGGTCGTGAGTTCGATTCCCCGTACCGGGGGAAAAAAAAAAAAAAAAAAAAAAGTTACTCTGCTCAAAGAGAGTAGTAGCGCAAGCCCGTACTCCCAGCACTCGGGAGGCTGAGGCTGGAAGATTGTTGCAAGTTTGAGGCCAGCCTGGGCTACAAAGCGAGCTCAAGGCCAGCCTGAACTGCACAGCGAGACCTTGTCTCAAAAAGACAAAAAAAACAAAAAAAAAGTTATTCGCCTTAAAACGCTGAGTTAAATTTTTTCTTTACACTATTTTTTCTTTTGGACAAGATTCACCTGCCAATTTACAAGTAAAACGCCTCATGTATAAATCAAATTGGCTTCTACAACTCTCTAACAGCATTTTGTGCCTGCAGGTTTTTTCCCTTAAAGAGAGTATTAATGTGAGAACAAAACTTGCACATTCTGCTGTTATCTAAATATGTGGTCCTCAGTTTCCTTGTTTTAAAAATGAAAGCACTGAAATGATTCAAATAGGGGCTTCCTCTTTAAAGAATAGTTATTTACTCTTTAAAAGGATTTATAGTAACTCTCTTAAGACAAACATACACTCACTTGAAGAATACCAAATTTTAATAAGTTTAATGCCCGTAATACATATACGGCTTCTATTACACTGTAGAGTCAAGAACATGGTATATAAACGAAGACATGGCAGCATTAAAGAGAAACAAGTAATATCTATATTTTAATTTATGTTAAAACGGATATGCCTATTTGTATTTTCATGAGGTGGGTACAGGTTGGGACAATTAAAAGTATAAAAAAATTTTTTTAAACGTTCTTTTAACAGACACTACAGAACCCGGCCTGATTTAGTCTTTAAAAATTCTGAAGCCAAGGTAAACATATATCTCCCAGGAAACGCCCAATTCTCCTCAGTAATAAACATCTTAAGGATACTACAATATGAATAGTAACAATTACTCAGTTATTTGAAGGCCCAATTTTTTGCTGTAATGCAACAAGTGTACATTTACAGTCAGAGATTTCTGTGATAGAAACATAGTACGTAGCCTAACAAAGTAGAAAAAGTACCAAGATTTAGATCAAAGTATACTTAAATTCAAGTCCCAAGTCCCACCTATTAGCTTAATCGAAAATGATTCCAATAGTATAGCCTTCTTTCAGAAGCAAAAGGTAGAGATGAAAAAGTGACTTAAGTTTAGCATTCCATAAATATCTAATATTACAGAATACTTCGCTGAATCAAGCGTAAGCCCCCTATAATACAACTGCTATTGCCCATTTTACAGATGGGAGTTCCTGAGGTGCAATGACTTAAATGTCATAATGAAAGTTAAATTGAGAAACTGCGAAATAACTCAGGTGTAAATCTTACCTTCTTTTCACTACCACTTTGCAAAAGACGTATCACTGTTACGGTGACAGTGGGAAATGAGAATTGTTTTTACTGTAACAAAGCTCTGGGCACATTCTCCCGCTCCCAAAGCAGTCTCTTCCCTATGGTACACAGCCACATATTTTAAATTCCTCTGGGTGTCACTTGCTACGGCTGACAAGTACTCAAACGTCCTCCTAATTCCTTCAGTATGTTAAGTGCAGTATACCGCCTTTAGGATTTCACGAGTTTGAACGTTAGCGAACACTTAAGCGTCGCGCGGACTTATCTACTTTCCGCAGGCCTACTTTATCCTTCCCGGCAGGAGGGAAGGGCTGCAGCCCCAGCAGAAACGCTGCCGGCTCCGATCGGGATCTCCCCGAAAGCCCAGGACCACGTGGGGCCCCCGGGCGTCCCGGGCTCCGCACCGCGCTCCCCGCTTTCGACCAGGATCTCGGAATCAGGCTTTCCCTCCGCGGAGCGGAGCCCCAGCACACGCCTCCCCGCCGCCCCGACCGCACACATCCTGCAGCCCGGGTCCCGGAAGACGGCGAGAATCCGAAGGGGGAACCGGGCGCCGGCCACGCCGGGAGCGACGCGAGCGGGGCGCAGCGCGGGGGAGCGCC